CTGGTCTCAAACTCCTGACCTCGTGATCTGCCCACCTCAGCCTCCCAAAGTGCTAGGATTACAGGTGTGAGCCACCGTGCCTGGCCCCAAGCTTTTTAATATTCTAGAAAATGGGGATAAATAATGGTGTCTCCAACTCTTGGCGTCATTGTGAGGACTAAAAGTGATGTTAAATGTAAAGGGTCTGAGACCAGGAGCTGTACACACCAGTCCCCACCCTCCCCAGCTCCTGCTGGCATCCACCAACAACTGGCATGCCTACTTTTTTTTTTTTTGAGACAAAGTCTCACTGTGTCACCCAGGCTGGAGTGCAGTGGCGCGATCTCTGCTCACTGCAACCTCTACCTCCTGAGTTCAAGTGATTTTCCTGCCTCAGTCTCCTGAGTGGCTGGGATTTCTCACACCCACCACCACACCCAGTTATTTTTTGTGAGACAGAGTCTCACTCTGTCACCCAGGCTGGAGTGCAGTGACATAATCTTGGCTCACTGCAACTTTCGCCTCCTGGGTTCAAGCAATTCTCTCCCTCAGCCTCCTGAATACCTGGGATTACAGGCACCACCACCATGCCCGGCTAATTTTGTTTGTATTTGTTTTTTTAGTAGAGATGGGGTTTCAGCATGTTGGCCAGACTGGTCTTGAACTCCTGACCTTGTGATCCACCCAACTCGGCCTCCCAAAGTGCTGGATTTCCGGCATGAGCCACCATGCCAGCCAATTTTTGTATTTTTAGTAGAGACGGGGTTTCACCATGTTGTCCAGGCTGGTCTCAAACTCCTGACCTCAGGTGATTCACCTGCTTCAGCCTCCAAAAGTGCTGGGATTACAGGCATGAGCCACCGCGCCTGGCCCTGGCGGTAGGTCTACTTTGTAAATGTCATCCAAATTTCCTCACTGCTCTCCAGCCCATGGCTCCCACCCTTGTCCAAGAACCAATACTCCTGTGGCCAGAACTGCCCAAGTCTTCCTTGTCTCCTTTCACTCCTGTCCCTGACAGCCAATTCTCCCCAACAGCAAGCCACAGGGAATTTTTTAAATGCCAATACTGATAAAGTCTCTCTAGAAAACACACTTCTGGCTCTCCAGGGCACCCCATGAGGTCTTGTGTGTGGTTTCAGCCCCTGCCCACTTCCTGGGGCTCCCTTCCCACCCTCCAGCCACACTGGTCTGTTTTCAGCTCCTTACATACCTTAACCTCTGGAGTCTGAGGCTTTGCACATTCTATTCCATCTGCTTGGAATGCCCTTCCCTGCACTCCCACTGTTTGACTTCTCTTTATCCCTCAGGCTAAGGTTTTGTTTTTCTGTTTTTTGTTCTTTTGTGTGTTTTTTGTTTGTTTGTTTGTTTTTATTTTTTTGAGATGGTGTCTTACTTTGTCACCTAGGCTGGAGTGCACTGGTGCACTCCACCTCCTGGGTTCAAGCGATTCTGCTCCTGAGTAGCTGGGACTACAGGCACATGCCATAACGCCTGGCTAATTTTTGTATTTTCAGTAGAGATGGGTTTCACCATGTTGGCCAGGCTGGTCTTGAACTCCCGACCTCGAGTGATTGACTGGCTTCGTCCTCCCAAAGTCCTAGGATGACAGGCATAGGGTCATGCTCTGTTGAGACAGGGTCTTGCTCTGTTGCCCAGACTGGAGTGCAGTGGCATGATATTGGCTCACTGCAACCTATACCTCCCAGGTTTAACAATTATCCTGCCTCAGCCTCCAGAGCAGCTGAGATTAAAGGTGCGCTCCACCAAGCCTGGCTATTTTGTGTGTATGTCTGTGTGTGTGTGTATTTTTAGAGAGACAGGGTTTCACTATGATGTTGGTCAGGCTGGTCTCAAACTCCTCACCTCAAGTGATTCCCCCACCTCGGCCTCCCAAAGTGCTGGGATTACATGCATGAGCCACCACACGTAGGCCCTCAGGCTAAATTTAAATGCCACTTCTTCCAGGCAGTCCTCCCTGAGCCCCCTCCATGGAGGAGCCTCCTCTAGGCTCCTCTGTTCGTCTCCATCACAGCATGATTACTTTGTCCTGTCTCTGCCTGGTATAATCTGTCTCCCCCATCAGCCTGTGGGCATCTCCTTGTGCATGGCTGTGTGCCCAGTGTGTGCCCAGTACAGGGCCTGGCACACAGTGGGTGCTTACTTTGTAAATCCTTTCTGGATAAGGTTAAGAAGGGTTCAGCTGGATGAACTGGTCTTCCTCTCCTGAAGCCAGCCCCTTTAATCCCCATCGGCCTCCTCACCTGCCTGGGACCATGCTGTGTCTTTTCTCTGTCCCTTGAGCCTCAATGGTGAACACCACACGGGCACTGGGCTTGACCTCTCCAGGGAGCCCAAGGCGGCTCGGCAGCGATGGCAGCAAGGGGGTCCCTGAGAAGCCTCTCCGGATGATCCCACCACCAATGGGGCTCACAGGGACCAAGCCACAATCCACCAACTCCTGGACCTGCTGGGAGAAACCGGCAAGACATGAGCAAGTTCTTGGGCATGCAACCTCTCTAGGACCCTGAAATGCTCTCACCGAGACACTTGGACTAGCTCAGAGACCTGTATCTCAGTCCCACTGCTCCCCTGTGTAAATTTACCTCTCTGAGCCTCAGCTTCCTCATCTGTGAAATGGGGATCTCAAACTTGGGGGAATATAAATAGTGCCTGGTCCAGGCCAGGCACAGAGCCCACACCTGTAATCCCAGCACTGTGGGAGGCCGAGGCAGGTGGACCTCCTGAGATTGGGAGTTTGAGACCAGCCTGACCAACATGGAGAA